ATGCATGGTGAAAAATGTCAAATCGATCACTTTAGAAAAGTAATAGCACACTTAAGTACAATATAAGCACTAAAACTAATGACGTTTGCCTTAGTGAACACTATGAACATCTACTGGTTAGCGTTACATCGCCTTTAACTTGTGTAAATACCAGAATGTTTTCCGCATCATTTTATTCGCCGTGTGCTTCATTTGTAGCGTCTGCAGCTTCACATGCATCCAGTTTCTGCCCGACTGTGGTAAATTCTGTTATTGCTGCGATGTTAAAGAAGTGTTTGACCCACTTTATTTTCCTCCAGCCATCCGGCACGTTGCTTTGTGATGCCGCTTGCATAATGGACGCTGGTCGACATGACAAAGAACTATTATCAGACACAAAACGAAATGAGAGGAATCTGACCCGTTTAGGGAAATTGTACCGTCAGATAGTCTCTGAAATGACAATTCGTGTTTGGTACCGTGTCCCAGAATAACACGGTGTTACCGTAGTCCTGTTTGATGTGTTTGTGTTTGTGTTTTTCTCTGCAGTTACACACACTGGTGGACTGACGGAGTGCTGACGTTCCTGCCGTCACCGTATGATGAAGGTGATCGCTTTACACATCCATAAAGACCGATATGAGAGACATGAGCTGATATATTAACCACAAACACTGAGCCGAAGCAGCTGTCATATCAGTCAGCGTCCTGATCGCATGGAGCTTCATGAGTGACTCCTCGGAGACTCTCATAATCACCGATTATTGATTTATGTGACTGAATATTAATCCAAATATTAATTAGTTAATTAAGTTATTTATTTATTTGTGAATGAATATTTAAGTAAACATTTAAGTGAACAATTTAAATATTTAAGTATATTTTAAAGTAAATATTTAATTAATTAAGTTTATTTAATAACTTTTTTAATAACCTATTTATTTACTTATTTATTTAAAGGGGTCATATGATGCTATTTTAAAGATCATTATTTTGTGTATTTGGTGTAACAGAATATGTTGACATGCTTTAATGTTCAAACAACACATTATTTTTCAAATACTGTACATTATTGTAGGTCCTCTATGCCCCGCCTCTCTCAAACGCTTCGTTTTCAACAAAGCCCCCTCCTTTGACAAGCGCAGTCCGCTCTGATTGGCCAGCTGACCCAGTGCGTTTATTTAATAACTTTTTTATTTATTTATCAACCTATTTATTTACTTATTTAAGTGAATAAATATTTAAGTATATATTTAAGTAAATGTGTATTTATTTGTGAATTAATAACAATTTAATTAAGTATATTTTAAAGTAAATATTTAATTAATTAAGTTTATTTAATAACTTTTTTATTTATTTATCAACATTTATTTACTTATTTAAGTGAATAAATATTTAAGTATATATTTAAGTAAATGTGTATTTATTTATTTGTGAATTAATCTTTAAGTGAACAATTTAATTATTTAAGTATATTTTAAAGTAAATTTTTAATTAATTATGTTTACTTAATTTTTACATTTATTTATCAATCTATTTATTTACTTATTTGTGTGAATAAATATTTAAGTATATATTTAAGTAATTGTTTGTTTATTTTTTTATTTGTGAATTAATATTTAAGTGAACAATTTAAATATATAAGTATATTTTAAAGTAAATATTTAATTAATTATGTTTATTTAATTAATTTTTAAATGTATTTATCAACCTATTTATTTACTTATTTGTGTGAATGTATATTTAAGTAATTGTTTATTTATTTATTAATGAATTAATATTTAAGTAAATATAAATATACATTTAAATATTTAGCCAAAAATACACAAATAGTCCAGATTTGTCTTTTTCCTAATTATTTTGACTGAACTCATCGCATTGCAATATGGGATTGCCTTTTCCATGAAGGATTCATGTGATACATGTAACAAGCAAAATGTTATTCATTTTAGAATTAATTAATTTCTAATTCACCTTGTTTTCGGAAAGTTTCGTTTGTATTTAGACGCCTCACACATGCTGTATATTATAGCTTGTGCATGTTAAATCATAGAGATGTTCTGAATGTGTCTCTGTTTCAGCCCAGTGTGAGAAGAACAGGAGGAAGGTGACGGTGAAGCGCGTGAACCGCTTTGACGAAAGCATCGACATCTACACCGAGATCTTCAAGCCGTACGAACTCACCTCGTTCGACGACACGTTCAGCATCGCCATGACCAACTCCGCGAGGTCACACACTTCAGAAAAATTGTTAAATATTTGAGTATATATTGAAGTAAATAGTAAATGCATGTATTATATAAATATTTAAGTTAATATTAAAGTTTATTTATTTATTTACTTATTTATGTGAATGAACAATTAAGTGAATGATAAAGTAAATATTTAAGTAAATTAATTGAAACATTTAAGTAAATATTCAAATGTATTTATTTATCTGAATGCATTTTTGTGTAAATATTAATTTAAATATTTAAGTGAATATTCAAATGTATTTATTTATGTGAATATAATAAGTGTTTAAATGTTTAAGTAATTTAAGATATGAATACGTGAATAAATAAACTTTAATATATTAGCATTTTAAATGTAAACAAAGTTTAACATTTACTTAAATATCTTTAAATTAATATTTACTTAAATGTTCGTTCAAATTTGTTCATATTTTAACAATATTTTATATTTAAACCAATTTTGATTTGAAACAATTAAGTGAATAATAATTTCAATATTTAAATAAATTAATTGAAACATTTAAGTAAATATTCAAATTTATTTATTTATCTGAATGAGTTTTTGTGTATATATTAATTTAAATATTTAAGAGAATATTCAAATGTATTTATTTATGTGAATATAATAAGTGTTTAAATGTTTAAGTAATTTAAGATATGAATACGTGAATAAATAAACTTTAATATATTAGCATTTTAAATGTAAACAAAGTTTAACATTTACTTAAATATCTTTAAATTAATATTTACTTAAATGTTCGTTCAAATTTGTTCATATTTTAACAATATTTTATATTTAAACCAATTTTGATTTGAAACAATTAAGTGAATAATAATTTCAATATTTAAATAAATTAATTGAAACATTTAAGTAAATATTCAAATTTATTTATTTATCTGAATGCATTTTTTGTAAATATTAATTTAAATATTTAAGTGAATATTCAAATGTATTTATTTATGTGAATATAATAAGTGTTTAAATGTTTAAGTAAATTAATTCAGTAATTAATTAATATTTAAGTATATATCAGAATTAGTCATTGTTAAACATTGTTTACATTTAAAATGTTAAAATATTAAATTTTATTTATTTACTTATTTATTTTTATTTATGTGAATGAGCATTTAAGTAGATATGAACGTAAATGTTTAAGTAAATTAATTTAGATTTTTAAGTAAATATTACATTTTAATATTAAAGTGTTTATTTATATGTGAAAATGAATTTGAGTACATTTTAATTTACATATTTAAGTAAATACTAACATTTATTTGTTTATGCTAATAAATATTTAAGTAAATATTATTAAAATAAAATGTTTATTTATATGAATGATCATTAATTTCAATATTTAATATATATATATATATATATATATATATA